ATAAGACATTTCATGTAACTAATATACTTCTCTAAAAAGTGGGAATCATTTCAATGTTCATATTAAGTAAACATGATTATAAGTTTAAAAGTCAAAAATCTTATTTTAGGAAAAGTAAGATCTCCACTCACAAATCAATGGATAAAAATCTTGCTAAATTGACAAGCATTTCCAAGCTTTCACGTTACTGCCTGAAATAACGGTATAATTACTCAAATTAAAACCTAACAATTAGATTAATACAAATCCACAACTTAACTTCTCAACTTCTATATTTATTCTTAATCTCTATTTCCACAAATTTCCTCTTAAATTATTTACCCACAAATCAACAACATGATCAAATCCATAAAATCACTATACTTTCATAAAATCACTATCTTATACATATGTAACCCCTATACGTATACTAATCCAATACATAACCTTCAATATTTATCATATAACTTCATTCAAACCTTTAAAATCTGAAAATCAATGATTTGATGAAAACAGCACTAAAATTCCACATTATTGAATTGTGGCACCAATTTTTGAATATTAAAAACTGTCTCCAAACCTATTGACAAAAACAACACTTTTTGGACAGAATTTCAAAAAAACACCTGCACATAAGTTTTTGTACGAGAATTGCTTAAAAATGCCAAAATTCAACCTTAACTCCGTATCTTACTTTAATACATAAATCAAGTGTTTTATATCATGTACACACAATAAATCAAATATTCAAACTCTAATTTGCAAACCCATTTCACATTTCTTACACTAATCTTCCAATATACATTTTTCTACTTGTTTAATACGTAAGATATATATCAATAAACTTTAATTCTTGCTTAAATTTGAATATAAACAATTATTCATAAATCCTAAAAAATTAATTAACATACCTCTTTAACGGAAGGAGATGTTGAAGAAATGAAGAACCCCAAACTTGTAAAAATCGGTATCTACTTCTATCTATTTCGCTTCTTCCCTTTCTCTCTTCTTCTTTTTTTTTCATGCTTCTCGATTCTTCTCTGCTCCCATCCATGAAATGAGCCTCATTTCAATTAAGGAAAAGTCTAAATGTACATAATTTGGCCACATAATGGTGTCCATACTGTGATGTGGACAAGATCGCCTATTGATGTGAATAAAAGGTTGGCTCCAGTGCCACGTGTAATTATGGATATCATT